TGACACACTTGAGAGGTGAGGCAATGCCAACCTCATGAAGTTCAACCAAGCCAAGTGCAGGGTGCTACACCGGGGTCAGGCAATCCCAGGCACAGCTGCAGGTTGGGCGGAGAAGGCATTCAGAGCAGCCTTGTGGATAAGGACTTGGGGGTATTAAGGTTGAGAAGCTCAACATGACCTGGTTTCAGTGTGCGCTTGCAGCCCAGAAACCAACCATGTACTGGGCTTCATCAAAGGGAGCGTGACCAGCAGGTCAAAGGAGGTCATCCTGCCCCTCTACTCTGCTCTTGTGAGACCCCACTTGCAGTACTACATACAGTTCTGGTGCCCTCAACATAAGAAGGACATGGAGCTGTTGGAGCAAGTCCAGAGGAGGCCACAAGAGTGATAAGGGGGCTGGAGCACCTCCCGTATGAAGACAGGCTGAGAAAGTTGGGGCTGTTCAGCCTGCAGAAAATAAGGCCACGTGGAGACCTCATAGCAGCCTTCCAGTATCTCAAGGGGGCCTACAAGGATGCTGGATAGAGACTCTTCATCAGGGACCTTAATGATAGGACAAAGGGTAATGGGTTCAAACTTAAACAGGGAAGTTCATATTAGATACAAGGAAGAAGTTCTTTAATGTGAGGGTGGTGAGGCACTGGAACAGGTTGCCCAAAGTGGGATGAAATGCTCCATCCCTGACAGTGTCCAAGGCCAGGATGGACAGGGCTTGGAGCAACATGGTCTAGTTTGAAGAGTACCTGTGCATGGCAGAGGGGTTGGAACTACATGATCTTAAGGTCCTTTCCAACCCAAACCATTCTTTGATTCTACGAAAATACCTAAGAGCCAAGTTCCTCCTGGACACACATTTTCCTCCTCTGCCTGGAGAGGGAGCCTAAGGCTGCCAAGTTACTAAAATCAGCATCTTCAGTAAAAACTTGATGTGCCAGTTGGTCCAAACTAGACTAGACTCCAGTCTTCCTCAAATTAGATGTACTAGTATATGGGCAGACTCTGAAACCAAAACTAGTGCTTTCTCCCTTTAAGTCACCTGTTGTCATCCACTGTAAGAAATACTTTATCAACTAGGATACTTCAGGGCTAGGATGGAATAATGTGAATGAACAAGCTAGTGTGGTTTCAGCTTTTATTAGAAAAAGACAGACATCACATTTTATATTTCAGTATATTTTTAAACAAGGCCTTTTTGATAAAGTTTTACATATCTAAAAATTGTCTACATGAGTCACACCTGCATGGAGCTTTGCAAATCACACAGCAGTCACCAAACAGCTATATTGCACAAAGATCCACACAATACCACACCATTCTTATCTTAGTCTACATTGTAAAGTGCTATTTCATAGGAAGAAATTTGTTCTGAAACAGTAAGTATCTGGACAGGCAAGTACTACTGAACTGTATTTCCTTCCATGGTAGTGGAAAAAACCTGACAGTGTGTTGTCAGTGCCTCTGACAGTGTGTTTTATTTAATAAGCTGAAGTAAGCACCATAGAGAATTGTAATGAATACATGCTAAGTATTCAAGTAACACCAAAAGCCAAATAAATTTTTAAACTCACAATGAGATAAAATAGACATATCAAAAGGTAGATAGATGTTTAAAGTAACGTAAGTCTCTGTCCAGTAGAAAAAGTAATGGCATAGCAAAGCACACCTTAAATGAATGTAAAATAAAGATATAGTAGAGGGAAAAAACAAAAAACAAACAGCCCAAAACCTGAATTCCTCAATTTTTAATTTATTACCTCCATATTCTCAATTTCTTTTATTTTAATAAATAAGTCTGAGATACTGGCTTCATATCCAAGATAAATTGTTCAGTTTATGACTATTTCCATAAAGTAACAAAAGGCCAAAGCCTGGTGATATTGATCCAGCTGCTTATAAATAATCCAAATGTGGAATTGTGGAGTGCTAATCACAACATAAAACCTCTAATTTAGACCAGTTTCTGAAACAGAGAAATCAAAAATGCTACACTTGCATGTGAAAGGAGATTTGGTCTGGGAACAACAAACAAGAAAGTTCAACCGTATAATGTATAGCTTTAAGCCAACAGTAGGTTTGGTAGATCCTTATACAATGGGAGAAGTCACAGCTACTGACGACAGAATCCTGGCCTATTTGACTGCTGGGCTCACATAGACAAGAACATGAGTTATCTGCTCAATAGAATGTTCCAACATGTGTTAACTTTTCAGTGCTTGACTAGCTAATCATGATTTAACAAATGACTAAGGGAAAAGAAAGTGGCAGGAAAAACAAATTTTAACAGAAGAAAGATTTGCTGCATCTTACTACAACTTACATTGCTCCAAGATCTGGAAAATTAAGCAAAATTTTTGTGTTACATATGAAGCTACTCAGGAACATTCAAGTTTAGAAATGACTGAAGAGCTGCAGGAAGGCCTCAGGCCTAAGTGGCTACGTAAACGAGCAGATTAAACTCAATTTTAATGAATGCTAAGTAACACACAAAGTGGGGAAACCCTTATGTGCAGAGCTAATTTACCACTACCATCAAGATTGTATGGAAAACACTGCAGATGAAACTTTGTAAGCATCAGCTTAATATTCGGTATCAACTAAAAAGACAAATATGATTTTAGGACCATGGAAACAAGGATAACCCAGAATTTTGTCATCCTTCACAGCAATAGAGCATATGGAAGGCTTCTGCGGTCAGCCTCAGAAGGCAAAAGGATAAAGACAACAGCAGGACGCTCACCAATACAGAATGGCTTCCATCCAGTGAGAGGAAACATAAAGGCCAGAGCATAATGAGAAAGTAAGGCTATGATAACCATCTATTTACAAAACAAAAACAAAACACCACCATCACCCCCCCAAAAAAAACAACCAAACAAAAAAACCCACCAGAGTATCCCCCCACCCCAAGAAAAGACCTAAAGGATAACTAGTAAGGGCAATTTGCTATTTCTCCTGCAGGAGAAAGTTCCAGAAGATATCCATTGTTTCACACCTGTTACCTGGGACATCCAAGTGTTTCTCATACAAGTGCACAACGAAGCTGTTGGAACATACTTCACACAGCCTTATTAAGGCAAAAACACTTCTGGTGAGACCTTGTGGGGCCTTTCTAGCCCTGTAAGGGCTGTCCTGTTCACCTTGGCACAGATGACATTTTTGCCAATTACCATTTCTGCCAGTTTCTTCTGACAGCAGCCACTGTGCAGAGGCTTAGGAGAATAGGACATGGGGAAGGGTGGACTCCAGATCAGCTCAGTACAATAGTTCAAACAGCAAAGTACACAAAGGTTTTGCTTTATGACCTACATTCATTTAAGCGTAGTGATTTTCAGGTCCCATTTTGTAACTCTACAGCTGTATACATGTACTTAGTAAGCATACTTCACGCACATTCATCAACAACATTCATGCAACATTATCCCCAAATTAGAAAGCATATCCCCAAATTAGAAAGCACCAAGTATATATTAGAAATGTCCTTCACTTTAGAGCTTCATTTTTCCACAACACAAATCAACAGTGCAAGAACCCAAATACTTCTTTTTATGTAGGTTTCTATAAAAAGATGCAGTCCACCTCCATGCCCAGTAAGATCATGTACCAAACAGATCAGAGAATCATAGAATCATAGAATAGTTAGGGTTGGAAAGGACCTTAAGATCATCTAGTTCCAACCCCCCTGCCATGAGCAGGGATACCACACACTAAACTATGATCCTCCTAGAAGATCTGTCAAAACTTATGGAAGACAGGGAGGTGCTTAGAGACAACCAAAATGGATTCAACAAGGGCAAATTGTGCCTAACTCATCTAGTGGACTTCTGTGATGGTATTACTGCATCAGTGAACAGGGGAACAGCAAATACCTCTGTCATATACCTAGACTTCTGTAAGGCTTTTGATATGATCCCCAACAACATTGTTACTCTGAGTTTGAGAGATACAGGTTTAATGGACAAGGAATTGGCTGAATGGCCATGTCCAAAGAGTTACAGTCAACAGCTCAATGCCCAAGTGGAAACCAGTAACATATGGTGTCTCTCATGGGTCCACACTAACCATTCTATGATTCTATGAAACTTAATCAGTGCATTTTTAACATACTAAAAAAACCCAAGTTGCTACTAGATCAGAAAAATAACTTATATCAAGTATTAAAAGAAATACTTGATTTTAAGTTCACATTATTTCTCATATGAATAACTCACTTGCTTTTGTCTAAATACCAGGCACTATATTACTCACATGCAGACACTTCTCATTTTGGACTCTAAATTCTGATGTTTAAGGTAGAATTGTACTTTATATATTTTATGTAGCCTATAGTAAAAGCCTGGAAGAGTAAAGAAATTTGCCTTTATGCCACCATCTATAGGATACAAGGTGTATCATACAGTTACGATCATTTAGAGCATAAGATTAGAGTTTTACCTTACGATGTCACTAAAGGAATGTGACAAGCAATTCTGGTTCACCCTCCTCTTTCCAAATACAACCCAAATGTTCAGCTGTAGTTCTGATTTCTCCCTGCTTTATATCGTATTTTTGCAGATGTTATTTTGTGTTGAGGTTCAACCCCTGGTGCTCAGGGGTTAATTGGAAAGAATGTGACCCTTCAGAGGCATTCAGGAAGATGTACTGAAAGGCGAACAGCAATCATACTGTCAGCTTTGACTTTGTTAAAAGCAAAACTGTGTAAGGATTTAAGTTACATAAAAGGAGATTTTTACCCCTGAAGAATAATTCTGGTTGCTAGCCAAACTTCTTCCCTGCTTTCCCCTGGGAAAAAATTCTGTGGAGAACAGCATCTCACAGATCACAGGAAAGGCAAGGGAGTTCCTGGAAGAACATCTCCCACTGGTGTGGAAAGTGCCTGGACTACGTGTTTGTGAGCAACACATATATAGAATGCAATTAATCAGGACTGAAAACTAAAGTAGAATTCTTCTATTCTTATTTTCCATCTTAAAACAGCAATGGGAAGAAGTAATCTCTCTGCACTAGATGTCGTTGTCATCATACTCCCCGTACTTTGCTGTGACAGGTTCCTCAAGATGAACTGCTGCACCACCCATTAAGGCAAATGCTGGGTACATCATGCCAGAGCAGTCCACCTCGCACTCATAAAGGCATTTCATACTGCCAGCATCGTAAAACCCCACCTTGCCCTTGTCACAGTCAAGGCAGATGCCCAAGCATGAGGGCAGGGGAAGGATTCTACTCGCTGCATCCTTGGAAGTAGCAGGTGTTGTGGGAATAAAGAACTTCTTCATGCCTAATGTGACCAGTGGGAAGGGCTGTGACGAGTCAAAAAAGGCATCTTCACTCCCACTGTCATGACCACTGTCTTGCTCATATCTAGAACAGAAAAACAACCATTTGCTTCTGTCAGATTCTGAAGTAGGATCAGTGACGTGAACCAGAGAAAACACCTTTGTAAAGATAGGTAACACCATGCCATCACCTGCAAAACCTTGTGGGGTAAAAATATACCTAACCCAGGAGGGAAGATGCATTTAATAGCTGGAGAACAATCACTTGGGCCACTTCAAATAATTACTAACAGCTAAACACTAATAGGGACGAGACCACAGAAGGCTTTATTAAGGAGCGGATGTACTCATGTACTGAATGTACGCAGGCCAGGCAATCCTTAACGAACCTATAGCTATAGATGAGATAACGTGAGAAGAAATTTAGTGAATATGACAAATCATCATAGCCAAGATACATTTAACTTTATGTACATAATGTTAAATGACACTAGTAAATACATTTAACATTACTGTTGTCCTGTGAGTTTTCCATGACGCTGCTTGCTACATTGTCTTTAAAATTCAAAACACAAAATAGTGGTTTAAGGGGATTTTTTTTTTTGTTGGATTGTTTTATGTAGTCTGCATGGAGAATTCCCTGAATCCCTTTCCCAGATGGTTACTAAGTAGATTGTAGCCAGATTTGTTCAGTCTACATGCTTTTCCTCCTACTTTTGTACCCAGATGAAGACAGACCAGAGAAGCACACATTCTTCTGCGCAGACAATTACTAGCTAGATTTGCTTTTCTGGCCTGTTTGGAGGGAGGCTGGATGTCTGTCAGCTAAAGTTTTACAGATATTTGTGTGGAAAAGGAGAAAGAAATCCGGAAATCAGGTTCTAATCTGTCACTTTGCATAAAGTCTCCATCTGACATTAAGCAGCTCAAGACACTGGCATTTTTACACTTTCAGTATGCTACACAAGAGGAAGCCAATTTATTTTTTAGATTCCTGAAAAAGCAAAGAATCCCCCAGAAGACAGTCTCCCAGCCTGCAGTTCCTAGACACATCCAGAACTACCACTGCCGTAATTGAAAACCGGACATTTTTTTCCAGGTTTGTCCACTGTACTTTGGCTTGTGCTCAGTACCACTCCATTACTGTAAGTAGAATGTATAACCTGGGACAAGCCAGTGACTTGGAATCCACCATAACACAAGCTACAGCAAAGATACACAGATATGCACAGTGAACATTGTACTGGCATATCTTGGTATCTGTAGGAACCTGATTTCTTTCCCAGAAAGAAACAAAGCAGGACTCTGGAATGAGGGGATGAACAGGACCACCTGCTTACACCACTTTCCACTGGTAAGGTGCACCTTGTGTACTAATGGACACCTGACTTCCTCTTATTTTTTTTTAAAGCCATTTCCTCATATAAAACATGTATTAAGTAAAAGTCTAAAATTTACCTTGGGCTGGTTACATCATGGGTATTATGGAACAATTTCTGCATCTTGCTGCCAGAAACAACTCCCACTTTCACCAAGTATGAATAGGGTTCCACATGTAAAGCCCAGAAGTGCTTCCCTTTGGAAATTCCAGTGTCACCAATGATGTAATCCAGGGTCGTATAGCATCCAACCTGCATGCGCTCAGATCCCAACAGCAGAGAAAATCCAGCTCTACTTTCCACAGAAGTTCTTCTTGGGTTCAGAAGGAGATGTTCATTGTTGTACCCACATTTGTCATCAAAAAGAAAACTGAAAACTGAAAAACAGTATCCCGAAAAATTTCCTCTTAGTTAAGTATCTGGCCTTTTGTAGTTATAAACTGTATTTTAGGTCACACTGGCATTAGAATGTCTCACTTTTAAAGGCTACCAGGAACATCATGCAAGCTAACACATTCTCAGTATGGTACCTACTTAACCTGTTTATGCTTCTAAACTTCATGCAACTGGTAACAGTACAGCAGAACTTTGGGAGCTACTGGTAGCTAGCTACAGCTTTTAACACTGAAAGACAGATTCAGCACCTTGTAGACATATGAAAACTCAATACCTGGAGCTGGAGGTGTATGCAAAATAACTTCTCGGCTCCAAGCACTACAGATGGACCCTTTATATCCTCGTACTCTGAAGGCATAGCTGCTGTCATCATCAAGATGGGTTATTACTTTGCTCTTGCTGCAAACTTCAATCTCCTGCCACGCTGCACTCTCCTCTTCTCTATTAAGCTTATGATATTCAAGAACATATGTATCAGCTGCGTCTCTCTTCCCAGGCCATTCCCAACTGATCAGAGCTTTGTTGTACACTCTGCTCTGCAATTCATTTATTTCTGGTACTTCTAGACCTGGAATGACAGACATTCAGGAGAGAAGAAACCAAATATAGATACATACTGGTTTAGAATTAACAATACAAGCCCTTTGTTGAGTGGCTATAACACTATGTGTGTGTGTGTGGGGAATTTAACTCACTCAAAGAGTGCAGATGAGGATGGTTCTATTCATGCACTTAAATAAATCCCTTTCTGTTTTCACTTTCAAAGTTGTATTATTTATTTTTGCTGGCAGCTAAAAAAAAACCCAACAAAAAACCCCACCATCTTATAAAAATCTATTCTCTTCTGTCATGCAACAAAAAGCTTCTAGGAAGACCTAGTATCAATTAACTACAATATTTTAGAAGCCAATGTAAACTGGTACTGAATGCAATGGCTTCTTAGCTTCTTTATCAACGCTGAAA